GGGTGGAGCCGACGGGGTGTGCGCGCAAATGCTGTCGGCTGCCTCGGCAAGTTCGTCTAGGGTAGCCTTATTTGCAAATACCCTAAGGAACGTCGCGACGTATTCAGGCAGTGCTTTCATCCAACAAATGCGTAGCATATTTTCACTTACGTGTAAACTGGAAGCCAGGCCTATCATATAGCTGAGTAGCTGCGTGGGAGTGTGTAGCCCGTTGTCCCCTAGACGGATACCGTTCAGTAGCTGTTTGAGACGGTTGTCTTTCGTCATGCTGAAACGGTTGATTATAGCCTCCTTTAATGCGTCGTAAGGTCTATCGGGTGGGGGATTGCAAACTACGTTCCTTAAGCCCGGACCCATGGAGCGTGGGATATGTCCCACGATTTGTGTGAATTTGTCGATCTGAATGGTCACCCTGGCCAGCCGGAATCGTGCTTCCACTTGATCTAACCAAAACTCCGGGTCTTCGGGGATGAAGTCTCATATTCTAGTCACTAGACCACTAACGTGGGGGCTATCCTGCTGCTTTATGTTGACTTCTGCTCCGACTTGATCGTCGATCAATGAGTTTTGCATTATGTACGCAAGTGATGAGTAGATAGAAAAAAAATTGCACGAGGTCTATGTCTCAAATTATTAAAGGTGGCAAAAATAAATCTTAGGTTACACCAGCGATAATGAAAGGACTAAGCAAGTGAAATAATGTAACAGTAATAACGAAACTTAAATGCGCGATAACTATAAAATGTGGAGAAAAAAATCACGTCGGGCTCACCAATTTAGTCTCGGGGTTGATGATGTCCGCGAATTCGTACGTCTAACAACGGGCGAGGTAACAAACCAAAGCAGAATGACTGATATCACGAAACCTCAACGACTGTTGCATAGTTATGAGCTGGAGAGTAGAGAGAGAAGCGTACAAGTAAGTAAGCGTGCAGAAAGTGAAAGTCAGGGTACCGTGACCAACGAGGTAATCTTGTTCCGGTAAAACAACAAGGTCCGGAAGATGGAAAAGGTACATGAGCGGAAAGGGTTGACACTGTCACTACAAGCGGGATTTTTATCTTGATAGTCCAGAAAAATCCTGTAATGATAAAAAAGAAAACCCACCGGTTAGAGATTAATGCGAGGAACACTCAAAATTAAGTGATTGGCGATAGGATAAACTCGGGTCGGCTCCCGACACCCCACAATTTTGAAGGCGATTATAATAAGAAATAAAAAAGAAGGCTACCGACCAGTTTCCAACCGCAGGATCAGTCAAAATACCCAGTCATCCCGTCAACCGATAAGGAAAGAAAAATTAGGAAAAGAGGGAAAATAATTAAGAAAGAAAGCGAAGGCAAAATGAGAAATGAAACGCACGCGTGGTTTGGAGGAAGAATCTCTCTCGAATAATCACTCGCAGTCGAAGACGGGGTAGGGTGTGGGCTCAGGATGACTGTGTCCCTAACAGCAAAGAGCACTCATGCTTCCGGACCAAAATCTTGGTCGGAGCGGCTGAGTTGTGTAGCCATAGGGCAAACTGTCGGTTCCGCACCAGGTAAGCTTCGGTTGCAGTTCTGTCACGGTGAGAGCGGAGACCCCCTCCATCCCCTCTATCTACCTAACGCACTGATTTTCTTTTCTCTTTTGCATGGTTTGGTTGTGCGTCCTGGCTTTTGTAACGGCTGGCGCCATCGGAACACTGCGATGCGTGTGTTAACAATTGCTTTATGAATCACGTTTATGCGGTGTTGATTATTACTTATGAACGAACGCAGGAAAACACTTCGACCAGCATCACTCCTAACTGTCTCTCGTTTCAGACACAACTGGATACAGAGTAAGAGACAAATACTCCGAGGACCTCCGTCCGTCACCATGCAATAAACCTACCACCAGAACCCGGGCTACTCTAAAACTTCGGTCCCCAAGCCCGTCAATCCACACGACTCCCCGTGAATGACCAAATTATGAGAGCTAGCCTTTCAAACGGCGTTCATTAGAGACACCTTATGCCACAATATGCACTTGAAACCATGCTGTGTCCGAAATTTAAGGTCTGTCATCGTTGAGGCGAAAGTACATCCCTTCCTTTTCCTCTTTTTCAGCCCGACTAAAAAAACAATAAAAGAAACAAATATAACGCAGTGTTAGGAGTCAGGAGCACCCGATGACATTACAATCATCTGGACGCTCGATTGGCGCAGCCATTATTCGTTCCGTGAAGACCCGATCGTGCCGAGGAAGATTTGTTTAAACTGGCGCTGCACTCACGAGCGGGTAGTGCATCTTTCTTCTCGTGATTGCGCTTTTGTTTTCGACGATGGGTAAGTATTTTTTGTGTGGCTTTTTTTTCAGGAGTTCAACTGTAGAATTATTTCCAGATCGTCCTAATGTAAAACTCAATATTTTTCCACTTCAGGGGATAGCTCGCACCCTCCTGCCAAACGAGGAAAGTTCAGAGATAAAAGCCCGGACGACTCCGTGGTAGATGATCACGCTTCCAAACGCAGACAGG